ATAAGTAGCATGCGGTAAGACATCCATACATTGTGTGTAACACAGACACGTATGATGCCGAAGCTTTCACGATTATTTGCAATATGATAGAAGCAATTTCTGCTGTCATACGCGAATATCATGCCACAACGAAACAATTAGAGAACTGATAAAGAGCAACATGCTGTAAGCCAAAGAACAGTTTAAATTGTTCATCAAATCCATTTCTCTCAGTCCTTCGATATAGTAGTGCACTAAGTGCACTACCATGTAAGCATACTGACAAATTTAAACGACGATTAATGTTGTCGTAGACCAGTAAAATCTACGCAAAACGGGGCACGACACGTTGGATCAAATGCTAAAGATACGAACAACAATTTTTATAAAGGAACATACTGTACTCGTTATTTTCACAGCAGCGAAAAAAAAGCTTTTTTATCAATAATTTATAATTTTTATGAAACATTGAACATCAGTGCTCTTTCTTTGATCGAGAAGTATCGCGAATATTGGAAGGTTATCGCTGCAAATTGGGACTCGAAAGCGTTTCGCAAACAATCGACCATACACGATTAATCAATACAGCAATAAAAAAAAGCACGTCAAATGAGAAGTTGTGCACAACAGCCGTGCTAAGTAATTCAAGACTTGAAGATGCGGGCTGGAAATGTCAAGAGAAAGCGAAATTGCAAAAGTTTGTTTTACAGTACTGCCTTTGCACCGTAGATGAATCAACTGAAAGCACTGGGAAAAAAGGATCGAGTGGATATTGTTTTATCAATAGTATCATGAAGTCCAAAACAAGAAAGTTTTTTGTCGTAATTTTTTGTTTTGCATTAACGACTATATAATATCCTTTTTTTGTGCGAGAGGAGATGCAAATAGTAAAATAATTCAAACTCGCAACTCGTGGGAGAAGTAATAATTTTTACCCTATATTCTATTCTCTATTGTTTTATGTTATTGTTACAACTGTAACAAATATAAGTTTATTTTTAATTTTTCTATATCATTTTTATTTATTATTTTATTTATTATTTTTTGTATTTCGCGCTCTTATAATCTAGTTAGTAAAGCTGAGTGAAAGTTCACTTGCACATTATACACTTGTGTACACTATTCCCTATTTAAAGGCCGCTGTAACACGCACTAGTCCCACGAGTTCCGACAAGACAAGATATCGATATATCGCCATTTTTTGCAATAAAATAACGTTGGTGTGTGCAATAAAGAGGACAAGCTTTATTCCATTTCCTAGACCTCCAAAATAGTTAACCACGTAACAACAACAATTATATATCAATATATCACTCATCTTCAGTACATCGCCAAAAGTACCGATATATACGACAACGAAGCTTTTACTACCTGAAATATTATTGTTTGAGATCTATAATCCATATTACATGTATAGAATATTCAGAAATTAAATAATACAGTAATATAAAAAGTAATATAACTAAATTACAATATAATAACCAACGGAAATTATATGAAGCTGTTTGTAAGATGTAAACATTGCCATGTTAATTTTTGCAACTTAGGTTATTTCGATATTTAATATATAAGAATAGTGAATTTGGTTTCAATCTGTATACTGTTACTATAAAAATATAAACAATTTTTGTTTTAATATTAATTAAAACCTTTAAAAGATATGTATCATGATAAAGCTTGTTAAAAATATTTGAGTATTACGTTACGTTACAAGGTAAACAAATGCAAAAATATGTATAAATGAAATCTTACGCTAGTAAATCTCTCCAAAGAAAGGTCGAGAATCCTTCCGCTCGTGATCGTCAATCTTTTCTGCGATCTGACAATGAGAAACAATATAGTTCGACTTTCTTTGGCTGGAAAATCGTACCAGAGAGAATTATACGCCGCACTTCCAATCATTTTACTCTGAAAAAAGAAAAATACAAGATCGATATATTTGCGAATTAATGAATTTACCATTTTTCTTTTGGAGCTAACCTTGGCGCTCAGATGTTCACCGCAAAAACAGTATATGAATGCCTCAACGTTCATCGAAATGTAGTATATCAATGTCTTTACCAAAATTGCTGCGGCATTAGGTGTGTTGAGCGACTGAAATTTCCATGTACGCGAACAGTATATAATTTATAGTATGAGTTAATTACATGCACATACACGATACTTCGACAGTCATCTTGAGTGTTAATAATTATCAACAGTCTTTTAATCCGATACGCAATATTTATATCTATAAGTAACCAAACGTCACTTTAGACTTGTTACTTACGGAAACGATAATAAATCCTAAACAGCATATGATGATAGTGTCTGATAAAAGCATCATAAATGCGATGTACGTGAAAAGAGTCTCAATATTTTCCGCAAATATAATAATACGCTGGTGCTTAATAATCAACGATCGCAATGTAAATTTGTCCATCGAATCCGCTGAACATTTGGAGATATTTGTCAACGATTCTCGAAGAATATCGATTTGACCACAGACGTGAATTATCTAAGGTTTATAGCTTCATAATCTTTCTCTCTCAAAAAATTAAAAATTATCTCTTGAGTAACTTTTAAAGATATCAGAGAAAAATATAAAAAATAATTTAGCAAATAATTTACATAAAATATAAAATATTATTAATGCATATACGTAATATATTTAATTTAAAATTTAAATTATGGACGATCTTATCAGATATAAGATCAAATTGAAATAAGTAAATGAAAAATGGAATTTGTCTTATTTTAACTTTGAACACGCGTAACACGTTATTTAAGCTTACCAAAGTGACGAGAAGCGAATTAATAATTGTAATGCCGCAGGCAACTAAAAACAGGTGATAAAATTGAACAGATTGAACTGTCGTGTAAATAAAATCTGTGCTAATGTTGAATGGCAGCTCCATCTTTAGAATGAGCTCTCGCGCGTACGGCTCTAATGTCTCGGGACTGTTTGCGTTAGCAGCCAGTACACCGACACTGTAAAAAGATGCGGAGCCGATTTGCATGCCGACGATCCATCTCGAGGTACGACGTGCAAGATTTGCCCCGTCTGTCATTACGCGCGAGTTACAGCGGTTCGAAGTGCTATCTTGCCAATCCGCAGACATCATTTCCAATAAATCGTAAAATATTCTACGGAAGATTGGGCACACCATTCACGTTAATGTTCCTTTTCACACTCGTCTGTCATAAATTAAATTAATTCTGAATTTGATAGCAATATTTTATTAAAGTATCATAAATAACAGACAATTCATAACACGCAGTCATGTGTGTACTTTCAGTTCTCATAATCAAACTAATTGAATAAAATCGAAGACTGATTAATTATTATATGATACTTTTCCGACCGGTAGTTTCGGCAAGTGCTAATAATGAGACGATGGAGTAACATGATTTGCATATTATTCCATAAGTACGCCTTACCGTTGATAGATCCAAAGAATAATAAGCTTAATGTAGAGTAAAGAAGACGTCATTGCGCTGCTCACTCCATCCATATACTCGGAGAAGTCGTCCATATGAATGTTCATCACTACGTATCGATATTGAAAAACTTGAGCCGTGCTCAGCGCTATGATCCAGTACAATCTGAACATCACAGTCAACGGTACGTAAGGCCATATACCATAAATATGAAGGCCGAACCTGACCAGTCGGCTGAGCGTGGTCCTCCCCATATTTCTCTTCAACAACGACGTGAAACGCCTCGCCGACCAATCGCGATCGTCGAATAACTTTATTCATACTAAAACTTACTCGCAGGACGACAGAAAAACGCGCGACCCATGGTCATCGACCATTGACCAATCACAACTTGTTAAATATTTCTGCTGCATTGCATAAAGAAAAAGAAAAAAATAACTGCAACTGTAATTTTAGAAATAATGAATGCATAGACAATATACTTATAGGAAAGGTCCCCTTCTTTTCCAACTTTCGACTACAATACAACTGTATGCCCTCTTTAAAAATGCAACAGGTAAAGGGAAGGTGGAGCGCAGCTTCCACGAACTGCTGCCGTGAGGTTGAAATATTCCGCTGCTGGGGAGGGGGGCAAAGCGTAACTGGGGATCCCCTCCGTGCTGAGGGATCATGAGAAAGGAAGACTAAGACGTATCGTAAGAGTTCGTCACGATGGAAACACGAGTGTAAAGATCACAGTTGGCGCCCGCCAACTGTGCTTGCAAGAAAGCTCGGGCAGTTCGACAACGACGGTGCAGACGTACAGAGTTACAGAATGACGGTATAAGCGAAGAAAAATGCAGCCAGAGCGAGAAATTGTATCTTATGTATAACCGAGGTGAGTACTTCACAAGATTATATTACATTATTATATTCTTTTATATTACACTATTTGTGTTTATTATTTTTACACTACACTTTTAACGTAATTAGTTTTTTTTCATATAATGTCGTTTAGTTACTTTAAAAATCTTAATTACAAGTCAATTTTCGATTTTAATATGAAAACGCTGATTAAAATTAATCTCTCTTAATTGGATACGTGTATTTTGGTCATTATTTTGTTGTCTCTGTAAAATACATCGATCTAAAATATCAGCGATGTATTAATATATAAGACTTATAGCCTTATACACTGCAAGCTAAATAAAGTCATCGCGAACTGGTATCTCGGTAAATCGATGCTTTGTTACCCCTGCTTGTCTGCACTCGTACACTTGATGCAAAACTCCGGCTTTTTGAACAGAAAAATTGTTAATCGTATAAACGACTGACGGTGGTGAAAGTACTATATCTTTCTACACGCGAAGATATAAGTAGCATGCGATAAGGCATCAGTATATTGTGTGTAACACAGACACGCATGAAGCCGTAGCTTTCATGATTTGCAATATGATAAAAGGAATTTCTGCCGTCATACGCGAATATCATGTCGCAACGAAACGATTAGAGAACTGATAAAGAGCAACAAGCTGTACGCCAAAGAGCAGTATAAATTGTTCATCAAATCCATTTTTCTCAGTCCCTCGATATAATAGTGCACTACAATGCAAGCATATTGACAAATTTAAACGACGATTAATGTTGTCGTAAACCGGTAAAATCTGCGCAAAACGGGGCACGACACGTTGGATCAAATGCTAAAGATACGAACAACAATTTTTATAGAGGAACATACTGTACTCGTTATTTTCACAGCAGCGAGAAAGAAGCTTTTCTATCAATGATTTATAGAGCGTCGAACATCAGTGCTCTTTCTTTGATCGAGATATATCGCGAATATTGGAGGAGTATCGCTAATGATTGGAACGCAAAAGCGCCTCGCAAGCAATTGACCATACACGATTAATTAATACAGTATAATAAAAAAAAAAGCACATGCGAATGTCAGATGACAAATTGTGAACAACAGCCATATTAAGTGATTCAAGACTTGAAGATGCGGGCTGGAAATGCAAGAGAAAGCAAAATTGCAAGTTTGTTTACACTACTGTCTTTGCACCATAGATAAATTAACTAAAAGCACTGGGGAAAAAAAGATTCGAGTGGATCTTGTTTTATCAATAGCTGTTCAAAACAAAAAAGTTTTTCGTCGTAATTTTTTTTTATTTCGCATTAACGCGTATAATCTTTTTTTTGTGCAAAGAGGAGATGTAAATAGTAAAATAGTTCAAACTAGTCGCAACTCGTGGGAGATAAAGATGTAGTAATATTTATCATATTTTTTATTTACTATTGATTTATTGTTACAACTATTATCAATACATCACTCGTCTTCAGTACATCGCCAAAAGTACAGATATATACGACAACGATGCCTTTACTACCTGAAATATTATTATTTGTGATCTATAATCCATATCACATATATATATTCAGAAATTAAATAGTAGGTACAGTAATATGAAAAGAAATATAACTAAATTACAATATAATAACCAACGGAAATTATATGAAACTGTTTGTAATTTAATGCGGTGTAAACATTGCCATGTTAATTTTTGTAACTTAAGTTATTTCGATAATTAATATATGAGAATAGTGAATTTCGTTATTAATTAAAAAATAAAAATAATAAATTTTGTTTTAATTTGTATATTGTTACTAAATTGATAATTTTTGTTTTAATATTAATTAAAACCTTTAAAAAATAATTATCATGATAAAACTTGTTAAAAATATTTGAATTTTACATAACGTTACAAGGCAAACAAATGCAAAAAAAAATATGTATAAATGAAATTTTACGCTAGTAAACCTCTCCAAAGAGAGGTCGAAGATCCTTCCGCTCGTGATCGTCAAACTTTTCTGCGATCTGACAATGAGAAACAATATAGTTCGACTTTCTTTTGCTGGAAAATCGTACCAGAGTGAATCGTACGCCGCACTTCCAATCATTTTACTCTGAAAAGAGAAAAATACAGGATCGAGATATCTGCGAATTAATGAAACTGCCATTTCTTTCTTGGAGCTAACCTTGGCGGTCAGATGTTCACCACTAAAACAGTATATGAATGCCTCGACGTTCATCGAAATGTAGTATATCAATGTCTTTACCAAAATTGCTGCGACATTAGGTGAGTTGAGCGACTGAAATTTCCATGTACGCGAACAGTAATTAAGTATGAGTTATGTTATTTACACATACACGATACTTCCACAGACATCTTTAGTGTCAATAATTATCAGCAGTCTCTTAATCCGGTACGGAATATTTTTAATTTTTTAATTTAATTTAATTTAATTTATTGCGATGCTTAGTGGAGGATACAGTTATAGAGAGTATAAATAATGAGTGCACGCAAATGGTGAGGCATCAACACGATGTTGTTACTAAGCCTTCCAGTGAAGACAGTGTAAGTCAATATATAAAACATATAATATAAAAAAAAACATAATATAAAAAACGATGGATTCGCTCACGAGAATAATATTTTGTCGTACAACACATTCGTCGCAGAACTTACAATACGCACAGTAACACATAGATAAATACGCACGCACACACACTCGCACGTGTGCGCGTTAGCAGACACGACATATCGTGCAAGCAATCAGTGATGCGCAGGTTGAGATGCATTTCTGGCAGGAAATGCAGTCGATGAAATGAAGGTGGATGCAGCTGTACGAAAAGAAGACAAAGAGGTTAAGGATCTTATGATAGAGGGAAGGTCGTTGAAATATTTGACTGCACAGTAGAAGAAAGAAGCGCGAAACTTGGCAGAGTGATGCAATGGAACTGAGAAAAGGTCGGGGTAACGAGTATTTGGGGCGTCAACGGCATGGTAAGTCGAAGGTAAGGAGGAGTATTAGAGTGAAGAAGGCGGAAAACCAGGCAAAAGAAGTGAAGCACAAAACGTATTTATATTTATAAGTAACCAAACGTCACTTTAGACTTGTTACTTACGGTAACGATAATAAATCCTAAACAGCATATGATGATTGTGTCTGATAAAAGCATCATAAAAGCGATGTACGTGAAAAGAGTCTCAATACTTTCCGCAAATATAATAATACGCTGGTGCTTAATAATCAACGATGGCAATGTAAATTCGTCCATCGAATCCGCTGAACATTTGGAGATATTTGTCAACGATTCTCGAAGAATATCGATTTGACCACAGACGTGAATTATCTAAGGTTATAGCTTCATAATTTTTCTCTCTCAGGAAATTAAAAATTATCTCTTGAGTCATTTTTAAAGATATCGGAGAAAAATGTAAAAAATGATTTAGCAAATAATTTACATAAAATATAAAATATTACTAATGCATATACGTAATATATTTAATTTAAAGTTTCAATTATGGACGACTTTATCAGATATAAGATCAAATTGAAAGAGGTAAATTAAAAATAAAATTTGTTTTATTTTAACATTGAGCACGCGTAACGTGCAATTTAAGCTTACCAAAGTGACGAGAAGGCAATTAATAATATGAATGCCGCAGGCGAATAAAAACAGGTGATAAAATTGAACGGATTGAACTGTTGTGTAAATAAAATCTGTGCTAATGTTGAATGGCAGCTCCATTGCCAGAATGAGCTCTCGCGCGTACGGCTCTAATGTCTCGGGACTGTTTGCGTTAGCTGTGAGTACACCGACGCTGTATAAACATACGGCACCTACTTGCATGCCGATAATCCACCTCGAGGTACGACGTGCAAGATTTGCCCCGTCTATCATTACGCGCGAGCTACAGCGGTTCAAAGTGCTATCTTGCCAATCCGCAGACATCATTTGCAATAGATCGTAAAATATTCTACGGAAGATTGGGCGCACCATTCACGTTAATGTTCTTTTTCACACTCGTCTATCATAAATTAAATTAATTCTGAATTTTTGACGCTAATATTTTATGATATTTTGTATGACGCTGTTATTTATAAAGTATTATAAATAACAGACAACTCATAACACGCAGTCATGTGTGTACTCTCAGTTCTCATAATCAAACTAATTGAATAAAATCGAAGACTGATTAATTATTATTTGATACTTTTTTGACCGGTAGTTTCGGCAAGTGCTAATAATGAGACGAGTAACATGATTATTTCATAAATACACCTTACCGTTGATAAATCCAAAGGATAATGAGCTTAATGTAGAATAAAGAAGACACCATTGCGCTGCTCACTCCATCCATATACTTGGAGATGTCGTCCATATGAATGTTCATCACTACGTATCGATATTGAAAGACTTGAGTCGTGCTCAGCGCTATGATCCAGTACAATCTGAACACCACAGTCGACGGTACATACGGCCATATACCGTAAATATGCAGACCGAAGCTGACCAGTCGGCTGAGCGTGGTCCTCCCCATATTTCTCTTCGGCGGCGACGAGAAACGCCTCGCCGACCAATCGCGGTCGTCGAATAACTTTATTCATACTAAAACTTGCTCGTAGGTCGACAGCAAAACACGCGACCATGCCATGGTCATCGACCATTGACCAATCACAACTTGTTAAATATTTCTGCTGCATTG